ATTTATAAACCAAATTTTGGCTGAGATATGACCGTTTTCATTCATTCTGACTGAAAATATTGAACACTACCATTTATAGCATGCCGTTGTGTCATGTAATAGGTAAAAGTGGCTATTAACAACACAATCGGCTTGCCATAGCCTGCAACCTTCATCCAGTTTGCCTGGACCAACTGTCAAATCCGCTTTATCTCGCTGCGCTGCCCTGTCGAAATTAAGCTGATTTGACCATTAAAGTGCATTTATTAAGTAAAAGTTCAACTGAGACACACCTTTACTATAAAGTCGAGCTAACAAATAATTGTTTTAGGTGCTTATCTTGTTAAATTTTGAAGAAATGCACAGCGAGTCGTTCCTCTGTGCATTCCCACAGCCGTGAATCAACTTTTGAAATGCAGCTTATTTGACCTTCAAAGTGTATTTATTAAGGAAAAGTTAGACTGAGACACACCTTTGCTATAATTTCGAGCAAACAAATAATTGTCTTTAAGTGTTAATCTTGTTAAATTCTTGTTAAAGTCCTCCCATGCATGCTCCCGTGGCCACCATTTGTCAGCCAATCGATTTTTGGCACAACACCTGCCCGCATTTCTTGGTTGTCAGCGGTGACGCATAATAGATGCGACGTATTTATGGACTTTTGCACTTTATTAGACATATTTAGACTGATGTGACTTATATGGCAGTGCGACGTGTACTACGGAAAATATGGTATATATTATATGTAAGGCATTTTAAACCCTTCCCACACAATGTTTCTAAACTCAATGCTATAAAAGAGCACAGATTGTCATGATCTTCGCTCTCTCTGCCATCTACCAGTGCTTTTGACCACGCCCACTTCTCAGTTGCAGAGTGGAGATCATGACATGCTGCAGGAGGAAGCTTCTCCCTGCACATGTGGGCTGCACGAAGGTGCAGCAGGTGCTAAATAATTTAAAATAATTTATTTTAAATAAAAAATCCATGCCGATCGTGCGGCTCATCCATCAATCATCCCATTGTGTGTCATGTCCAATCTTACTTTGAAAAACTGCAAAAGAGCGAGTCTGTGAAAGTCGAACCGTGAAGTAGCGAGGGACTACTGTAATGTTATTAATGTAGGTTGACTTTATTAGGAGCTATTTTTTCGGTTTTAAAGTCATCCACTTACTATTTCCTAATCATCTGCTCTTAACATAATTTCCCCTTTAGAAGTCCGAACACCCTGTCTGTAATGACAAGCTTGATTTATTCATAAAAACCTGCCTTAGAAGTCTCTGGTTTTCAAAATGATGTGCAGTTTCAGGGTTTCTGATCCAGCCTGGTTGGAGAAAGATTCCTCCTCTTGACCAGTTTGAATTTGTAAACGAAGCAGCACCTCTTAGCTGCCGCATCTCCCTCAACTCCTTCAGCTTCACCTTCTTCCTTAAAAGAATCATTTTATTATCAGTGACACAACGGAGCTCCCCCTCTGAGCCACCGATTTCAGTCCAGTGGGCTTGATCTTCCCCTCTCTCTGCTGCAGAGCACAAATATATCCATGCCAGGAATTGACAGCGTTATTCAGCATGAAGATGAGGCTGCTTGTATGAAATAGAGATGAACAGAAAATTGGATTGCCTGTTTTTTTGATCAAACACCATATTTTGTATTATTTAACAGGGTTAGATGCATGTTTCAGTAGATCTGTTTTTAATATTTTTTTTATATTATTAGGATTCTGAGCTGTTCAGAAAACCTTTGGGGCTGCAGCTCCAGAGGCTCAGACGTGACGACGGCCATGCTAAAAAAATATTCATTAAATATATCACGCAAGAGAAGAGGGGAGCTCAAAAAAACAATTTCACAGTGTATCTGTTAACATGCAGCAGGCATAGCTTAGCTTTTCAGAAATCCTAGGTGTTTACTGAATCTTGCTGAGCACATAATGTCACATAATCATCAAACATGGAAATCTGCACTAATTAAAGACCTAATATTCTATGAAGGACCACATTTCTCACCCACCGCCTTTCATTCCAGAGTTTTAAAACAAGTTCTTATGTAGAAATGAGAGTTTTAGCTGTTCTAGTAGAACCTTGAACATAACAATGTGAAATCTTCTCTAATATTGTGGGATCTCACACAGTGTGTCGATGAAGACTCTCAGCTACTTCCACATCGCTTCATTATCAGTAAACTGCCTGAATTTTAGCTATTTTTGTGTTGGCTAAAGTTGATTAGCTGTGGCAGCCATCTTAAAATGTATTGAATCCAGAAACGTATTAGTTCATTTAATGATTACTTAATGAAAGTCCTTAAAATCTATCCAGTGGTTCAGGAGATATTTTACTAACAGACAAACAGGATTGATGTTTTAGGTAAAATCTCATGTAAGGAGTTGCACGCAGAGCATGTGTTGTGACTGTGTTACAGCCACACACCAAATTTTAGCACAGCTCTATAACTGACAGAACGAAAATCCATTTTTTGTGTGTTTTTAAATTTATTTGGTTGTGGCGGCCATCTTGCCTTGCATTGGGTAAGCTAATTAGATGTAATTGCTTATCCAGTCATCATTTCCTGATTTAAAAAAAAAATATTATTAATCTGTCCAGTAATATCTTGATATTTGCTAACAGAGTTAAGTCCAAAAGGAAACAATTTAAACAAAAATCTTTTGCGATGTGCTCAGTCTTTGTGTTGGGGATCAGTTCCAGCTACTACCACACCACATTTAAAGTCAACATTTGTACAATTAACTGAGTTACAGCTGTGTTTGTGTTGTTTAGGGTCAACAGGCTGAAGTGGCCATCTTGAATCACGTTGATTTCAGAAGGTGGTCAGTTGTAGATTTACATCCAACATTTATTTTCTGCGAGTTGCATAAAATGTTCAGTGGTTCAGTGGTTTTTAGTGGTTCACAAGAGATCTTGTATACAAACAGACGCACAAATGCACATACACAAACAGGGGAAAACTTTTCTCCCTGTATCCTAAAGGTGAAGGCAGGCGATGATAAATTCAGACTTTTTCTCTGTTAGGAACTTCAGAGTCGTGTGTGTGTGTGGCCTTTTTGTGAAACTGTGCTCGTCTGATGAAGTCGCTGATGCTTACAGCTCTGTTTCTAATCTGTCGGCTTAAAATGCTTGCAGCCCAGATGTCACCCAGTTCTCCTCCCTCCACTGCAGGCATTCTTCACAGACACCTACATCCAGGAGCACCCAGGTGACCACGAACGCATCGAGGCCCTTAAACATCTCATCGCCCTGCAGGTAAACTCTTTCACTGTCACTGATTCTGAAGAAAAGCCCATTTTCCAAGGTGTTAGCTTGACTTATGCGTCTCCTCCACCCCCCAATAGATCCCTTTGCTGGAGGAGGGCATTCGAATCCATGGGGAGAAAGCGACAGAGCAGCTGAAGCCTTTGCACAATCGTTTGGTCACTTGCTTCCAAGACCTTCGAGAGAAAGTGGAGTCTCTTTATGGTGTCATAACTCTGGTGCGTTGCCAGCTGCAAACTCAATTTAATGCAAGAGGGTGCCAAGTCCAGCTATTGGCCCTCTTGCCTTTCTATCAAGTACTTCTCATTCAAAGCAGAGTGTACATTATATTAGTGCAGGACCATAAATCTTCCTTTAGCCGGGCTTTTGCAACCTGCGCTTTGCCTGTCACTCTGCATCTTCCCTGCCAAGATCCCCCGATGATGCTTAATCCCATTTGTGTGTCCCAGCCCTGTTCTCTGACGGAGAAGAAGAAGAGTCGCGTGGGCTCTGTTGTGATGCCCTACATCCTGTCTTCCACCCTGCGTCGCATGTCCACAGCATCCACCCTGTCAAGCGCCTCTTCAGGCCTCTCCAGTGGCTCCGCATCCTCAGACGGACATGTTACCTCCCAAGAGTTAGTCTCTGTGTCCTCCTCTCATTTCCAAGCATTGTTTGTTCCAAACAGCAGTTTGTCTTGTTTGTCTTGTCTTCCGTTTCTCTGCCACGGGTCACTCACAGATTCTTCCTTGTTGTCTTGTCCTAGTGATCGCAGGGCTTCTGTTCTGTCCCGCTCCGAGGAAGACAACAGAATTGCTAAAAAGAACAGGAAGGAGTGGAGTGTGAGCAAGTCACAAGTCCTATTGGAGAGGAAGTTGGATACAGATGAGGTATGGCCTACTATGCAGCAGCTGTTTCATAGGTAGAGTACGTAATCTGCTTTTTTCAGATACACTGTTTAAAACCCAAGCTGATGTTTTTTTAATTGATTCAGTTCCATCCATCCATTCGTCCGTTATCTTTTACCCGCTTCTTCCATTTTGGGTCACGGGAGTCGCCAGTGCCCATGTCCAGCAGTCACTGTGGGGCAGGGTACACCTTGGACAGGTTGCAAGTCCATCACAGGGACACATAGAGACAAACAACCATTCACTCTCTCACTCACACCTAGGCACAATTTAGAGTTACTAATCAGCCTAACATGCATGTGTTTGATCTGTGGGAGGAAACCAGAGTACCCAGAGAGAACCCACGCATGCACGGAGAGAACATGCAAACTCCACCCAGAAAGGCCTTCAGACCGGGATTTGAACCAGGGACCTGCTTGTTGAGAGGCAGCAGCTCTACCAGTTGCGCCGCCATGCTGCCCTTTTAATTCAGTTCAATTCAGTTTATTTATATAGCGCCAATTCACAACAAAGTTGTCTCAGGGCACTTTACAGGAACATTCACATATATAAAAAAGCCAATTAGTAAAGTTTTCTATCTAAGGAAGCAGCAGACAAGTTGAATCTTCAGTTTGTCACAGTCTCCCATTCTGAGCAATCACAATGGCAACAGCAGAAAGGAAAAACTCGCTTTTAAAGAAAGAAACCTCCAGCAGAACCATGTTCAGGACAGGCGTCCATCTGCTTTGACCGGCTGGTTTGAGAGGACAGGAAGGAGAGACAAAAGAACACAGAATGGCAGGTCCAGATGTAGGTGCAGGTGTTCCTGAAAGACAAAATCACACGTCAAGTATAGAAAAAATAATTACAAATACAAAACAGGTTGAGCAGAGTAAGTAAAGACAGTAGCAGAGTGAAAAAAATGCAGCATAACTAAGGGATAGCTCAGGAAACCCAAGCCAACTCTAACTATAGATTTATGAAAAAGGAAAGTCTTAAGCCCAGTCTTAAAACTGGACAATGTGTCAGCCTCATGGACAGAAACTGGAAGTTGGTTCAACAAGAGAGGAGCCTGATAACTGAAAGATCTTCCTCCCATTCTGCTTTTGGAAACTCTAGGGACCACAAGTAAGCCTGCAGTCTGCGAGTGAAGTGCTCTGTTAGGAAAATATGGAACAATAAGATCTGTAATATAAGATGGAGCTAGGTTGTTGAGAGCTTTGTAGGTTAGACGTAGGATTTTGAATTCAATTCTGGATTTGACAGGGAACCAATGGAAAGAAGCTGAAACTGGAGACATATGATTTTTCCTACTAACTCCCATTAAGACTACGGTAATTAATTGTAAGAAAAAAAAGTGAGCCATTTTGATCTCCTTGCAAGTTGTGGTTTATTCTGTTCTTTGTCCCTCAGAATTCCTCAGATAAACAGCAGAGACCCAAAAGTTTGCAACTGGGAGACCGACGGCTCACACTGTCCCTGTTCCAGGGTGGTTCATCACAGCTGATCCTGTCTAACCCACTCAGCCCTCTCCCTGCCTCTCCAAGCACTCCTCACACACACCGCAGTTCCAGTACGTAGCAAAGAACTCGTCTTCTGACAAGCACCGCAGCACATACCAGCATTTTATATATTTTTCCTCTTAAAACTAGACGTTTCACACATAAAAGGAAGAATTTCTTGCAGACACTCTTTGTGTAAGCACATTCTGGTCTGCAGACCTAATCAGGTCACACATACTCGCAGTCGCATGTGGTCTGAAACGCTTTTATTCCTTCTCTTCGGCACTAGGTTATTCATCACTCCTCAGTGACAACGATGCCAATACTATTGACACCCCAGGGACCCCCCCACCCATGCCTCCGAAGAAGCATCCGCACGAGATTGACAACCCTGGTTTGTCTTCAGAGGTACATCTGCTCGGAGAAAATAACAACCCCTCCCTAATGCATATTTTATGACGAGTAAACGTTAAAATATTCTGTTTTTATTTTTATTTTAAGTCTTAACACAAACTCTCTTGGTGTTTTTTTTCCCCCAACAGTTTATTCCTCCGTTACCAATGAAAATCGAGAGCAAGCCTCCTCCACCGCCTCCAAAGACTCGAAAGTCAATGTTCCCCTCATAAGAGCACCCCCCTCAGTAAGGCTCCACCTACGCACAGGCCTCCAACTTTCACTAATTCTCTGATTTGAGTGCGATGAAAGCACTGTTTCTTTTGTGACACCGTGGAAACGCTGCAGCAAGGCGGCAAACCGAAGGACCGTGGGGAGGAGCTTCTGCAGCAGTAATTCCTCTCTTTCAGGTCACATTTCCAAACAGTCGTCTGTTCCTACGTTTGAACCATTACTTTGGTCTGGAGCTGACAGGAAGAATGGATGCAGGCTGGCAGGAAAGGATGTACGACTCTGGGGAGATTTTAGGCACAGTCTTAGATTCAGTTTATTAAGGTAATGAAATAGATGTTTTGTAAATATAAGTCACTATGGTGTATTTTTTTAAATCAGTGCAGGGAAAAGGAATGAATAATGGTACAACGTTGTATTTTATTTTTATATTTGTATGGAGTGACACTGGATGAATCATTCTCCCTCTGGCTGTTCAACGGCATTCCATATATGATCAGGGAAAAAAGCTGCATTAGATGAACATCAAACTTAAGAGCAGGGAACACAGTGTGTAAAAGACTGTTTGTTGGATGTGTAGTTCTTTTGTGTTTTCTTGTATTGTGAGCACAGCAACTTACCAAAACCACAAGGTTTCAGAGACACTGGATGGCATTATTGAATGTGGTGCAGATTCTGCATTTGTTTTATCCTTGGAACTGAACTCAGCTGTACCTGATGCTTCCAAAATACGCATACTGAGGGAGGTGTCAAGTGGAAGAACTGTTTTCCGTCGAGGCGTTCGTCCTCTGGGTGAAAGATATTTGAAAGGGTTGTCAAGTCGGTTCATTAAATATAGATCTGGAGCCAGTATACAGCAGGAAACGAGGGGCCGAGCTCTTTACCAGGGTAACAAAATCAGTTTATCTGTAGTCCTTAGTTAACGCGTCGCATCCTGTTGGATTAATGGGTGTGAAGTTTAAAAGCTGTGTTCTTATTTAACAAGGATTATTGTTAGAAAAGGGACTGCTCCTGACCAAGTAGTAGTAATCTGGACATTATGAAGTAAAGTTCTCTGGAAAGCTAATGAACAATTTATCAAAGTTCATGAACTTTGATGTTTTGAACCACTTTGGCCATGGCTGCCTCAGAGGAGTCGACGGCGGAGAGGGCGGACTCCAGAAACCATCTTATCACCAGCAAACTGGTTGGTTCACTATGTGAGTGTGCTGCTTGTGGTACTAAATTTGTTGCGGCTCCTCAGACTGATGAAGTCCTTTGGCTGAAAGATGAAACGTCTCGATAAAAAGAAACAGTCCAGAGGACCTGATTTCAATTTGTTGGACTAATGAACAATTGTTATCTTACCTGTTTTAGGTCTTTAAACAACCTCAGTTTAGAAAAATATAGTTTATGTGCAACAGGACAGATTCGCTAATGAATCTGAATCTGAATGTAGCCAAGACCGAAGTGGATCGGTCTATTTCATGGCAAACATTTTGACTCTAAAGCATAGAGAGGCTGAAAACTTATTAAGGATGGCTGCATTCCATTTAGAAGAAGCTCGGCTTGTAAACCCTTGTTACAGAACAACCAGCATGCATCGCTGCAGAAGTGGAATGCAGCCCTTCAAGACAAATTGTCTGCTGTGAAATGAACCCATTGCTGCCGTCTGGAAACGGCTTCATTCTCCCAAATGTTATAACAGTTCATGCAAACGCTAATATTTAAATCTTTACTTTGCTGTCAGTTTTAAATGCATGGTTAATTCAGTAGGAGTATCATGAAGTTCCTGCAGGATTTGACCCCGAGCATCACTGTAAATGCTAGAGCTGCTATTTGGGCTTGGAGACGGTCTGTTCAGGATGTACTCTCCTCCTCACCCAGCGGCTCTGAGACTGACTCCAAACCCCGAACAGGTCACAGTGAGTACAGAACAAAAAGAAACCAATGAAACTTTTAAGCCATGTTCTCCTGAGTGGCTGGTTGGTGGATTCAAACCCAACTCTAATCTTCATAATCCAGACTCTCCTGCTTCAGGCTCCAGGTAAATATTTATTGTAAATCGTCATTTCAAATATGTTCAATTTGGACTTCACCGAGCTGTAAATTCTTTACAAAACAAGCTAAAACATCGTTGTTGCGGATCAAATATTTTTCTTTTAAATATTCAGGTGTATTTCTTTTATTATTTTTTTATTTTTACATCATTTATTTGTGAAATCTGAAAGTATTGTCTTTGTTTTCATAGATTTGCACACCCAGTGCCAACAGAGTCGGTGTATTTTTAATGCAGTCATTTTTAATACATTTCAACCTTTTGCTTTCCTTTGCACTGGCTAAATGTTTTTATTTTTTAACCAAGCAATAAAACAAAACAATGTACCTTTGGAGCGATAGCTGCACGGTGTTTTTTAAATGATTGTCTTTATTTTTCTAGTTTTAGATTGAAATAGTTTCACAAGGGATTCAAGTCATTGTACAGATCATTTTTTTTAAATAAGCATCAGATTATTTGCTGCAAACATCTCGAGAGATGCGTAATGATATTTTTTTAAACGAATAAACTGTTGTTGACTGAAGCAAAATAAAGACTTTCTGAAAGGCCAAGCGAGTCCCATTTGACGTTTATTCTTTTTGAAAGAAGCGGTCTTTTATTAGCAAAACGCAATTCTGTGATCACAGACGACAGGATTGATTACTCTTTATGTTTGCACAGGGAACATTGCACGTTCACAGACTGTGATTCAAATGCTGATAGGCTGACAAATTACACATTTAAGATCAACACATCTAACAAGCTGGCATAAAACTCTTGATTTATGTGTTTCAAATACAAAGGGTTAGATGTAGGTAAGTGATGCGGCTGTAGCTCACAGTGATTCATTATGTATGGAAGGGTTTATAAGATGTTTATGGTGGGTGTGTGATGGGTTTTGGTCCTGCTAATTGGAAATGTTAATGATCTGTACCCTCCTGTCAGGAAGTGAGGCGAGAGAGATGGAAATCTCAAGAGCGAAGAGTTGAGGTGTTCACTCCATGGAAACGGCGGTGTTTACCTTAATGTGGGAGAAATGGTATTGATTGTAACCATTTAGTTCTGTTCATTTCCATTAGAAATGTCCGCCCAGCGTGCATTCACTGCTGTGGCACATCAGCTTCTGTCCTTGAGTTCTTGGAAAAGTCTGAGTACGCACAGTCTCTGTTACCTTGAGAACACGCAATGGAAATACAGTTTGAAGTGTTTGTCTCAAAAAAAAATAAATAAATAAACGAATGCAAACTCAAAACAGCTTCCAGTCAGAAAATGTTGGGGTGTTTTTACAGAAAAAAACAACTTTTCTTTTTTAACCTCGTTTCATGATAATGTACTTGAGATAAACAAGGTCGCAGCACAACCTCAAGGATCAGATGGCTGTAAAGTTTTTAACACTTTGTGTTTCTATTCAATCCCACAGCACCTTAAAGCAGTAGTTCATCTATTTTGATGTGAGATTCAGTTGTATAAACAATATCTTACGTGCTGCAGATAGCTTTTTAAATGACCTCAGTTTGGAGAAATGGTTTAACCCTAGATGGACTGACGAGCTAACAGCTAGTCTGAGATACAGTTGCATTCAGGCCTAAAAGTCCGGCCTGAAAACCCCCCTCCCCACCCCAAAAAAAACAAAAAAACGACTTTTTTTTAAATTAAGCTTTTACTGCTTTTGTAAGCAAATCAGTTTGACATGATTTAAAAATATATTTCAAAGAAAGGAAGCTATAAGATTTCTTGTTAACAAGAGTTATTATATTATAGTTATTAACGGTCGGCAGACGCATGTGGCTGATGATGCAGTAGCTGAGTCCAGTTAAGCTTCAGGTGGGTTGCTGGCAGTCATCCATCTGGACTTTTTTTTTTTTTTACCTCATTCAACCGGCCGGTCAGCGCACAGTCAAATGACTGCGTGCGGCTGGTGATCAAGATTAGATTGTCAGCCGTGCACATAGCTGACGCAATCAAAATCCCGACCCGGCCCACCCATCCAGCACATTATTTTGGCCCGGGTTAAAAATGACAGCTGTAGTCTGAGAGGCACAAGACCAAAGTGAACTGATGTCACTTAACCACAGGGTCGGCGGCTCTGGCTGAGTGGTTAAATTTGTCTAATATGCAGGCACGTGTTGTAGTTTCTTTGGGCAAGGCATTACACTGATCTAAAGCACTGATTGGTCTTATTCAGGTTAGCTTTGTAGAAGTGTAAAGCGCTGTAAAAAATGTGTGTGAGCGAGTGCACAGATTGTTGTACAAACCGATTCCAAAAAAGTTGGGACACTAAACAAATTGTGAATAAAAACTGAATGCAATGATGTGGAGATGGCAAATGTCAATATTTTATTTGTAATATAACAAAGATGACAGATCAAAAGTTTAATCTGAGTAAATGTAACATTTTAAAGGAAAAATATGTTGATTCAAATTTTCACAGTGTCAACAAATCCCAAAAAAGTTGGGACAAGTAGCAATAAGTGGCTGGAAAAAAGAAATTGAGCATATAAGGAACAGCTGGAAGACCAATTAACACTAATTAGGTCAATTGACAACATGACTGGGTATAAAAAGAGCTTCTCAGAGTGTCAGTGTCTCTCAGAAGCCAAGATGGTAAGAGGATCACCAATTCCACCATTGTTGCGCAGAAAGATAGTGCAGCAATACCAGAATGGTGTTACCCAGCGTAAAATAGCAAAAACTTTTGTTATCATCATCAACCGTGCATAACATCATCAAAAGATTCAGAGAATCTGGAACAATCGCTGTGCGTAAGGGTCAAGGCCGTAAAGCTCTACTGGATGCTCGTGATCTCCGAGCCCTTAAACGTCACTGCACCTCAAACAGGAATGCCACTGTCAAGGAAATAACAGAATGGGCTCAGGAATACTTCCAGAAAGCATTGTCAGTGAACACAATCCACCGTGCCATCCGCCGTTGCCAGCTGAAACTCTACAGTGCAAAGAGGAAGCCATTTCTAAGCAAGCTCCACAAGCTCAGACGTTTGCACTGGGCCAGGGGTCATTTAAAATGGAGTGTGGCAAAATGGAAGACTGTTCTGTGGTCAGATGAGTCACGATTTGAAGTTCTTTATGGAACACTGGGACGCCATGTCATCCGGACCAGAGAGGACAAGGATAGCCCAAGTTGTTATCAACGCTCCGTTCAGAAACCTGCATCACTGATGGTATGGGGTTACATGAGCGCTTGTGGCATGGGCAGCTTGCATGTCTGGAAAGGCACCATTAATGCAGAGAACTATGTTCAGGTTCTAGAACAACATATGCTCCCATCTAGATGTCATCTCTTTCAGGGAAAACCCTGCATTTTTAAACACGATAATGCCAGACCACATTCTGCAGCAGTCACAACATCATGGCTACGTAGGAGAAGGATCTGGGTACTGAAATGGCCAGCCTGCAGTCCAGATCTTTCACCTATAGAGAACATTTGGCGCATCATAAAGAGGAAGGTGCGACAAAGAAGGCCCAAGACGATTGAACAGTTAGAGGCCTGTATTAGACATGAATGGGAGAGTGTTCCTATTTCTAAACTTGAGAAACTGGTCTCCTCTGTCCCCAGATGTCTGTTGAGTGTTGTAAGAAGAAGGGAGGATGCCACACAGTGGTAAAAATGGACTTGTCCCAACTTTTTGGGGATTTGTTGATGCCATGAAATTTGGAAACAACAGATTTTTCCCTTAAAATGATACATTCTCTCCGTTTAAACTTTTGATCTGGGATTTGTGTTCTATTCTGAATAAAATATTAGATGTTGGCACCTCCACATCATTGCATTCAGTTTTTATTCACAATTTGTTTAGTGTCCCAACTTTTTTGGAATCCGGTTTGTACACCACCTTGAGTATCCTGGTGGGATAGAAAGACACTCCAATCTCAAGTTTTCATATGTGATTGTAGAGACACTATTTATTTAACTTTTGCACTGCTGTCACTACTCTGCCAGAAATATGAAGTTCCTGCCAGAACTGTCCCAACCTGACTTGGTTGTTGTTGTTGTTGGT